ACTGTTATTCCTCTCCTCTCCCACCTGCTTCACCCACACGCACACTTGCTCTCTATCTTTCACTGTGCTACATTTCAGTCCAGAGAGAGTACTGATGAAATGAAATCGCTGTCTTTTTTATCACAATCCCCTGTGGATTCATCTCTTCACCCTCATTTTCACTCTCCACACCTCATATTTTCCAGCTACGATTTGCATTGTGCAAATGTAGCAGATGTTTCAATAATGGACTGTGAGCACATTGACAAGCTAACGGGAGCAAGCGCAGCCAAAACCAATTACATAAATTACTAATGGTTTTGTTTTCTTCATTAGGAATTAGAGAGTTTCTGCACAAACATTTACTGAATAACTGTAGGATAATTGCTGCGTTTCCCTCTGTTGTTGCTGATGGTCAGAGTTAAAATGTCTTTACTGTTTTCATCTAACAATGATATAAGTAGATACAAGTGATGCGTTTGCTGTTCCTCACACTATGACTTCTTTGCTTTTAAGCCAGCAAAACACAACCCATGACCTCAGCTGTTTTATGTTTTATCGCACAACCTTTCTTCTGCTAGTCATCCAAGAGCACTTTTAACCCCCCTGAGCAAGCTGTACAGCAGACTGAATAGATTCCAATCGGTTTTACTGCCCTAGATGTTGATGCCAAAGATGTGTGACTATAACCAGTGTCTAATATTCAAATTTCAAACTTAAAAGCATCTTAACTTTTATATCAATGTTGTCAAAAAGGCTGCTCTTACACGTTTGATGGAAGGCGAATTGTGGCGCCCTCCACTGTTCAATCACTGACAGTGTTGTTGTCTTTGACGTTTTACAGAGATTGTGAGAGCAATGACACATGTGATCAACCAGGGGATGTCCATGTACTGGGGGACGTCACGGTGGTCTGCCATGGAGATCATGGTGAGTCAATTACAATATATATATATATATAAATATATATATATACAGTCAATCAGGGTCACCCTGACAAAAACAGATGCAATTTTGAATTTGAGAATTTAAGTATAGAAATTTACGATGATCTAAAAAAAATTGTTCTATGTCTATAAATATAGTGAGACCTGCTATGATGTGAAATTTAAGGATAATGGAACTGAGGACGGCTATGGTTGAACAGTTTAATTTTCTAGGTTATAAGGTTGAGATGATTTTGACATGCGTTAGGAACAGATAGAGAATGTAGTGGACAAAGGATGTTAGAGGCAGAAAAATAAAAGAGAGAAAAGGTCTGGACAGATGTAGTGGATGTTGTGAAGGAGAGGACACAAATGGCTGATGTAACAGGCAAGGGATAGGGTGAAACTAAAACTAAGATGTCCCCTGTGGGTATAAGCCAAAATAAGTATAATATTCAACATTTCAACATCCAAATGTTTTAAAAAGATGTCTCCTTTGATATTTCCCTTTTCACAACCACACAGGAGGCGTACTCCGTGGCCCGGCAGTTTAATTTAATACCACCAGTCTGTGAGCAGGCAGAGTATCATTTCTTCCAGAGGGATAAAGTTGAAACTCAGCTACCAGAACTTTACCATAAGATAGGTAGGTATACGATTCCAATGACAATGAGGAGGACTTGCAGAAATCTTGCTGTTCAACTATTTCTTGTATCACAGGTGTGGGTGTGGTCTCATGGTCCCCTCTCGCATGTGGAATCATTACTGGCAAATATGAAAATGGCATTCCAGAAACCTCGAGAGCATCAATGAAGGTACATTGAAAATTCACAAAACTGTTACAGATATCCTGTTTTAAAAATTCTATTTTTAACATTTTCGCTGTTTTTTATTTAGCCATATCAGTGGCTTAGGGACAAAATACTGAGTGAAGATGGAAGAAAGCAACAAGCGAAGCTCAAGGACTTGGCTCACATTGCAGAAAAGCTTGGGTGTACATTGCCACAGCTAGCCATAGGTAAGGGTGTTGCTCATTCTTCACAGTCCATGATGAGTTCTGTCCCTTTGAAATAAAGACAGTGTTTGACTACAAAACTCCTCAGCTTCGACACAGTTAAACATTTGTCTCTTCTGTTGTTGTTGTTAGCCTGGTGCCTGAGGAATGAAGGCGTGAGCTCAGTGTTGCTGGGATCCTCTAATCCAACTCAACTGACAGAGAACCTGGGAGCAATTCAAGTATTCTTAATTGTTCCAATCGCTCTGCAATACTATTTCTGTCATTGTGTGTCCTTGTAAGACAATATGAATGACTTGCTGTTTCTGTGTTCTGTAAAACGCAGGTTATTGCAAAAATGACAGCAGGCATCGCCTCGGAGGTGGACCATATTCTAGGAAATCATCCTCACAGTAAAAAGGACTACCAACATTAGAAAAACATTTCAAAAGAAATGTTTCAGAACAACCCCTAAAAGCATATCAGCGCTCACTCTCACAGCCATGGCACCTTACAGATGTGCCCAATTTTGCTCATGCGCACATGATTCTGTGTGTGCATGTGTGTGTGTGTGTGTGTATGTTTGTGTGAGCGTGAGAGG